GATGCTATTGCATGGGACAGGACATCTTGGGGCAAGTCTGGGGGTGCAAAGTGCAATTGATTAGATTAGGTGGAGGTGGGGGCTGGCTTCCATGTGAAAATCCAGGTACCCCAACCACTGCTTAGGGCTTCCCACCAGAGGCAGAAGGGATGGGGAAGGAGGAGAGGAGGTTCTGAGTTGAGGGTAGCATGGCTTGAAGCAGTTAAAGGTGGAAAAGTGCAAGAGGTTTTGCTGAGCCAACAGGGTGCTGAGTGTAACTGGAGGGATGGAAACTGCAACAGCTCTAACAGCTTTGGAAGAAACCTAAAGTGCCATAAATCAGTCTCATAAATTCTCAGGGCACCTGGGTCATGTGTTTTGCAGCCCCATCTCTTCTCTGGGCTCAGCTGTGCATGGACCCTGCTATGGGGCAGCTAGGGTTTGGGACCTGCCTTGAGCCCCTTCTCCACTGCTCTCTCCTCCAGCTGCCCCTCACTTTCCTGAGCCCCTGGGGGACCTGGAGGTCGAGATCGGGGAGAGCGTGAGCCTGCTGTGCCACGTCGAGGGCTCTCCCCCACCACGGGTCACCTGGTCCAGGCGGGATGGGAAGCCCGTGACAGGCTGGCATGGATCTCCTGGTGTTTCCAGCCAGCTGGAGCCTGCCAAGCTCCTCATCAAGAGTAAGAGAGCTGAGTTTGCAAGCGTGCGTTGACGTGGCAGAATGCCCATGTGGGCATCCCCCGGGTGTGTGCTTACAGTGTCACCCTTGGGTGCTCTCCTGCTGCAGGCTGGTGTCCCAGCAGTGGGATTAGACCCCGTGCCCACTCTTTTTTCATTAGTAAAGCATGGACATAGTGGGTTTATTTGCACTTTATGCTTGTTCAAGCTTAGCTGGGCTGGAACAGCCCACAAGCCTCCAGCACTGCGGGATCTCTACCCCGTTGGTGGTGGGGCAGGGGAGGGTGGTGTCACCCCATCCTGGAGCTTGCTCGGGGGTCTCCAGCCCTTCTGGGCTCAGACTTCTCCCTGCTGTGCTCCAGGTGCCTCGCTGGATGACCAAGCCATCTACATCTGTGAAGCCCAGAACGAGTTTGGGAAAATCCAAGCAGAGGTCAAGCTCACGGTCACCAGACACGGTTTGCTATCATGTGTTTCTGTTGGTGTGTTGATCCTGGCTGCTGCCGGCACCGGTGGTGAGTGAGCAGCA